GTTTTGAGGTTAGTTTTCGTAATTACTCTTAAAATTGTCAGTGAAGATCTATTTATATACATGTATAACTGTTGTATACAAACAAATCCATGTAAATAAAATTTTCGTAAGGATTGTTTCTTATACATTTCCTATGTCTTCTAAAATTCATATTAATGTACACAGCACCATATATTTGTTTTGTTGTCATACAATTCTAACATGCTTAGCACAAATGAATGGTGGATGGGTTTTTGGCGCAAACAGTCGGTTTTAGTATAGTGCTTATTAAAAAGCGGCTTTTTACAGGCGGATAGCCTCTGTGCGTGTTCCGGTGGTGAAATACGCGACCGGGAGAGTTTCGCAAGTATACGCGAATTAGTGGATACGCTTCCGTGTTCTCTATTTCCTTATTTCCTTTCTTTTCCTTTTCCTTCTCTTTGTTCTCGTCTTCTTCCCCTTTGTAGGTGGTGGTGGCATGCAGGAGAGCCCGATTTCGGGCCAATTCACTCCCGAGCCGGGAGGGGAATTGAAATCACAGCATAATAATTCGTTTCCATTAGAAACTTTCGAAAATTTCAATTCTTTCTACGAAAAAGCAAATATAACCTTACATGAGACAAGAGCTTCTTCTCTGTCTCGTATTGAGAAGTCTTCTAGGCAGAGCTATCTGAAATATTCTCAACTTCCCATCGTTCCCCTCAAGATGTCTCGTGGAAAGAAGAAGGATAAAAATTCTTCTAAACGTACAAAAAATGCTACATCTCAGGATAATCCATCGGAACAAGATACTGCAACCTCTTCCAAATCAATGAAAGAATCGAGTAGATCTCGTTCCCCCATTGTTTCAGGTGGGGAAATCGACGGCTCTATTTCAGATATATCTGTACAATCTGATAATCCTATGGATATTGACAAGGAACCTAATCCTTCCAACAAGAGGAAGAGCGACGACCCATTATCTACAAATACAACGTTCTCCAAACGCGCCAATGTTTCTGATAAGAAGGACAAGACTGACGGGGATTCCCCGGCCGTGAGTGCCGGCACCCGGCAGACTCAAGCTTCTTCAGGTAATTTGCAAATATTCGTCTAGGGATTTACCACCATATATCGTTTCGATTCAGAAGGACTCTGACAACTCTACGTCCCGCCTCAATCCACTTATGGTTAGTCGTATCATTCATAAGCATGTTGGAAATAATGTTATTGAAATTAAGTAAGCCGGACGAAATAAGGTTTCGGTCGCTCTCAATAATCATGAGAAAGCTAATAACATCATTAGTCTCGATTCTCTTAAAGCTGATAATTTGAAGGCTTCTATCCCTACTTTTAAGGTCATGAGAACGGGAGTTGCCAAAAACATCCCTTTGGATATTACGGAGGAAACTATCCTTAAGGAATTTTCCTCCCAAGCTAAAATTCTATCAGTAAAGAGACTGCAACGAAGGATTAAAAAGGATGGGAAAGACGAGCTGCAACCTTCTCTCTCAGTTATGGTTAAATTTCAAGGTCAGCTATTACCTCGTTCCCTGACATATATGCATGTCTCCTTCCCGATTATCCCTTATAACCCTCGAGTCTTAATGTGCTTCTCGTGCTTGCGATTTGGACACATCAGTTCAGATTGCAAGAGTTCTCCTCGTTGCGCTAGGTGTGGGCAAGGTAAACATAATAATCAGGAAGATTGCCCGCGTATGCATCTTCCTCCTCAGGCTGGAGTCCCATGAGGCATATTTGCCGCGTATCGCGTAACTAATAATCGCTTACTACGTAACCAATCAAAAGTGATAAAAAATTACTTGCTGTTGTGATTTCGCGTTTTATCACTTTTGATTGGTTACGCGGTTACGCGATACGCGGCAAATACGCCTCATGGGACTCCAGCCTCAGTGTGTCAATTGCAATCAGGACCACTTTCCTCCATCCGCTAAATGCCCTCTTTATCTCAAACACAGACAGGTCTACCTACTTGCCGCACAAAAAAATATTTCATACATGGAAGCTCGCGCGAGTCTTGGCCTTTCCTCGCATCCCCCCTCGCCTTCCAATATCCCCTCCTACAATGACTTTTCTCCTTTTCCCTCTTTATCAACGTCATCCTGCCCCACACGATCTTCTCCTCGCTTCTCCTTTGACAATCCTCCCTTTACTCGTTCACCTTCGCATTTTTATGACATTAATCCATATGAAGTTCTTGGTGAGATCCCTGAATTCGGCCACGATTATATAGGAGTTAATTCTCCCTCTTATAGCGAGAAGGTTCGCTCCTCGCAACAAGTTAATAATCAGCCCCTTATTAATCGTCACACTCGCACGGTTCCAAATCCTAGACCTCCCCTTCCCCTTATTAACACTAATAACCAAACATCTAATGACCTTCGTTCAATGCATAACGCATGTCTTATTGCACCTCACGGAAGATGGTCGAATTCCAACTATTTCCCCCCTCCTTACTCTCACCTCCCTCTTATCCCCCTCCCCTTCCTCATGCTCAATCCTCGTCATTTAATCCCACCCCCACTATTCCCACTGAAACTTCTTCTTTCTCTACTTCTAATTCATCTCAGTCTGGGATGTTTAACTTTATCTGGCTAATTTCGAATCTTCTGCAAAATTCTTAGGTACTCTTTCCTCCGATCAAGGTAACTCTTCTATAGTTCAGAGCCTCCGACAGATACTAGAGATTCTTGCAGATTTCACTAAGACATTCTAACTTCTATCATGCCTACTCAACCCCCCCACAATTACAACAATCTTTCCCCATCTCACCCTCTTAGAATCTCCTTCTAGAATTTGTCGCGGTGCATTATCTAAAAAACCTGAAATCGAGAAGATGATTGAAAACCTTGACATCCTTATCTTAGCCGAAACTTGCTTATCATCTTCCCACTCTTTTACGATCCGGGGATTTGACTGTATTAGACGTGACTCAGTTTCACATGATATTAGAGGCCTTCTTATTTTAATCAGGAACTCAATTCAATTTTCGATAATTGATTCCCTACCTGACCTCTTGCCATCGAATTAATATCTATCAAAGTCTTTTCCGACGGTTATTCCTTCCCCATCGTCGGTGTATACAGACATCCTAATACTCCTTTTCCTCGCGATATCATCAATCAATTTCACTCGTTCCTTGAACAATTTCCTTCTATTCTCATAACCGGAGATTTTAATGCTCATCACCCCCTCTGGGGAGCTCACAAGATCAACTCGGCGGGTACCGCGATATGTGATTTAATGGAGTCCTTGAATTTTGTCTGTTTAAATCCTATCTCTTCTCCCACCTACATTCCCCCTCCTTCCAAAACTCCTTCTATTATTGATCTCTTCTTTTCCTCCTCTGACTTGGCCACACTTTGCCAAGCTTCAGTGGGAACAGACCTTTGCGGCAGTGATCACTTTCCGATTTTTGTTTCGATTAACGAAAGAATTAGATCGACCAACATCTTCTCTCATAGAATACGTTTAACTCAGTTTTAATGGAACCTTGTCGCTCCAACTCTTATGCTTAAAGCACCTATCATAATTGAGGAGACTTCGGCGGCCTCCTTATCGGTCTCCCCGATAGAAGGTTATAATACTTTCATCCACGGCATGTCATGTGTAACTCAATCTCCTGACCTTACCAATAAAAATGTAAACAAAAAATCTATCTCTTTCTTCAACGACGGGAAGTTCTCCTCTAAGGCTCCTCCACCGGCTCCCTGGTGGACTCCGGAATGCGAGGAGACCATCAAGAATAGAGCAGCCGCTTTGAAGCTGTACAAACGTATTCCTTCCACTGAAAATTACGATATGTATACTGAATCAGTTCGGAACTCGCGGAAAATTCTTCGCAAGGCTAAACGCAAGGGATGGAGGGATTTCTGTGAGAAACTCAACCATCTCACCCCTTCCGCAGAATTGTGGAAAATGATTAAAAGATTTAAACATCGTAGCCTTGTGGTAAATCATTCGGTTTCCTCGAAGTCAGAGGACTCGAACGACTGTATTCAGTCTACGATTCAGAATATCTGTCCTTCTTCGTGCCCCCCCCCCCTCTTCCCTCTATCCCGGCTATTACGGATCAGAGACTCGCTTGGCTTGACTCTCCTTTTTCGCTTAATGAAATTAAAGCATCATTAAATGGGGCCAAAACTTCCTCTAGCCCCGGTCTTGACCAAGTGGAGTATCGCCTTCTGAAACTCCTTCCGGATAACCTTCTTTCTTGCTTATTATTCGTCTTGAACTTACTATTCTCTTCCTTTGTTTTTCCCTCGCAATGGTCTCACTCTATAGTTTACCTTATCCCTAAGCCTAACGGCACGGGCTTTAGACCCATATCTCTCACCTCGTGTGTTCTCAAAATTTTTGAACGCATGATTCTTAACAGGAAATACTGGATCTCTGAATCTCCGGCTTCTCCCATTCCATTCTTCTTCCCGACTAATCAATGTGGATTTCGCAAATTCAAATCATGTCAGGACAATTTAATCCAACTTGTTACTCATATCCATACTTCTTTCATCAAGGGACGTGATACTATTGCAGTTTTCATTGACGTTAAGTCGGCATTTGATAACGTCCTCCCTCATGTTCTAGTACAAGATCTTATTTCTCTCGGCTTTCCCCTTCTCCTTATCAAATTCATTCATAATCTTATTTCCTCTCGAAATCTGCAATTTGTTACACAGGGTTCTCTGTCTCCCGTTTATGTCTCTCGCAAAGGAACACCTCAGGGTTCGGTTCTTAGCCCCTCTCTCTTTAACATCTACCTCAGAGATATCCTACATCATGATACTCGTCCTTTTACAATTTGCAGACGACATTGTTATATTCTCTTCTCAATCTGATCCTTCGTCTTCTCTTCGCTCTATTAAATAGTCGATACTTAATCTTCAGGCATATCTCGGGGACAGGGGCCTTGAGATCTCGGCCAATAAGACTCAACTCATGATTTTTTCCAAGAAAAGGAAACCAAGGTCTATGAGCTTTGATATTTCTATTAATGACACTTCTATCTCTCCTTCGACTTCATGAGATTTCTCGGGGTTTACCTTGACCCAAAACTTTCTGGTGACAGGCATATGGATCATATCATTGCGAAGGGTAAGCGTGTTTCTGCCGTGCTTTCGATGTTACGAGGAACATGGTGGGGAGCTAATCCCTGTCTTTTGCTCAATATCTATTCAGCCATGATACGAGCTTCTTTCGAGTACGCCTCGCTTATTTTCGCTCTTAAGCGCAACCAGTCAATTATTAAACTACAACGGATTCAAAACCAAGCGATCCGCCTTGCATGTGGATATCGGATCTACACGCCGATTAATGTCATGCACGCTGAAACTAAGCTTCCTCTACTTAAACTAAGATTTGAGTTATTGGCAGCTAGATATTTTATCAGAATTTTATCTATCCAAGAACATCCGGTTACCAACATACTTTTGGACTTATTTATCTCGCTGTCCAATCCTGGTTTCAACCATTATCTCAACAAGAACTTTCCTGCAGCATTAGTCTTCTTTCGGATGTGGTCTCACAGGAACACCCTCCATACTACACCAGCGCTACCTGCCTATCAAAACTCCTTTACTTCTACTGTTGAAAATGCGGATTTCCTCTCTCTTCCTAAAGCTATTCTTAATAACCTTGATGATCTACCTAAACACGCAGTGCAGCTCGTCTTTGAAGAACATTTTCAAACCCAGTTACATAATGCCAATGTGTTTTATACCGATGGCTCCAAAGTGGATGATAACACCTATGTTGGTTCTGCGGTATTTTCTCCGCAGCTCAATCTGGAATATATGTGTAAGCTCTCCCCTTATGCGTCAATTTTTACCGCGGAAGCTTGGGCCATTTATAACGCTATGTTATTTATCCTGCATAACGGATTAAAACGAGCAGTAATCGTGTCGGACTTTAAGAGCGTTCTAGAAACACTCAAAGGCTTTCGAAATAAAACTAATAATTACATCGTCTGTTATATTAGAGCTCTCATCGAGGAAGCCAAGTTTAACAACTCTCATATTACATTCATTTGGATTCCTTCGCATCGTGGCATTAAGGGGAACGAAACAGCGGATGAGCTGGCAAAAAAAGCCATCAGAGAAGGCATTGACTCCAATTTCAAAGTTCCCTATTCAGACTTATATATAATTCCAAAAAGACAACTCGATAGGAATTTTGAGGACTACTTAAAGCAATCGTCCAATCATAAAGGGGAATTTTACTTCAAAAATTGTTACAGCCAGGAAACCAAAAAACCCTGGTTCTATGACGCTCGGCTCTCTCGCATGTTAATCACCACCATGAATCGTCTCAGAAGTAACCACTATAATCTTAATCACAGCCTTTACAGGAAAAATCTGATTGATGATCCTTCGTGCCCCTGTGGAGCTCCCCTCCAAGATCTTGTTCATTTCGTCTTTCACTGTCCGCTCACCGAATCCCATGCCTCCCCTTTGAGAACTGCTCTCCAGGAACTTATCCTCGAACCTACAATAGACCCTTATTCCTCTATAATCCTAGCGTTAAATGCGGCATCACCCAAGTTATATAGACTCTTTGCCAGTTTCGGTCTTGCCAACGATCGCCGTCTGTAATTCATATTTTGGCGGCGCTCTCTCGCGGACAAATCGCCGACGTATTTACGCCGACGCGTGGCATCGATCCCCCCTCCCTATCCTAGCGGTATCTTTTAGGTACTGCTGGCCCCTTCTCCGCGAGAATCCCAACCTTTTTAGGTTGTGTGATACTGGGACGGAAAACTTTTCGTCTCGTTGCGCCGAAACTTTCGGAGCCCTCTGTATCAATTATTATATTCGATACTACATCAGACGTGATCTGTTGCTGGATTCTCTAAACGTTTTATCGATGATTGTCGCTATCGTTAACTAGCGACAGCCAATGGCAGGACAATCCTAAAAGAAAGCGCGGCTCTCATTGGCTGTCGCTAGTTAACGATAACAACAATTATCGAAAAAACGTTTAGAGAATCCTGCAACTGGCCGTTTTGTCTCCGCTCACTTTATGGAGGCAGGAGCCATTAATTAAGAAGAAGAAGAAGACAAGCTACAAATAGACGTAGTTATCCAAATATTTACATACAACAGTGCAGTGCAAGAAAGTTAATTCCAGTATAATTAATCACTTGTATAAATGAAATATGCAACTTTCTAATAAATCAAAATGTTACTCTCTATGATGATGTTCTGATAACTCATCAAAAGAATCACCGCAATTTTCAGTTTTCTTAATTGAAATTTATTAGCCTTTAACCTTAAATTCATATATCAAATGTACACTGCAGCTGACAGCTGTGTATAATTCGTTTGCGCGCGCATTCCCTCCCTACAGTCATGCGCATTACCAACTACGATCTTAATCTATTCCTCTCTGTCAATCTACTCGCCTTCACTTTCGAGAGACTATGCTCCTTCCAGTACTATATGTTCTAAGGTCATGCTACACGTAAAAGATGGTATCAAAAGTTTCGCCAAGGAGATTTCAGTCTTAAAGATGAATCGCGTGCTGGACGCCCTGAAAAGATTGAAACGGACGAATTGCAAACACTGCTGGATATAAACTCTGCGCAAACTGAAAAGGAGCTTGCAGAACAGTTTGGCGTTACGCAGCAAGCCATTTCCGTACGATTGTTTTTGAATAAAGATTGAATTTTACAAAAAAAAGCTCAGAATTTTATTGTACACCAATACATATGTTTGAATAAACCGCATGTTGGAGTCAAAATGGTGAAATGATTGCGGACATTATAAATCTAATGACTTTAGATTATACTGTTGGGGGAGACCTCTGCCGACGGGGTGGGTGCGAGAGGGGGGGCCGAAGGCCACCCCCAGGAAGTAAGATATAAGGAGACTCCACTCCGTAAAATAAAAGTGGACCCATTTTAGGTTTCGAGTTCAGCTTCCGATTCTGATGAGTGCGAGTAAGAGAAATGATCATTTCTCTTACTCGCACTCATTATGCGCAGCACTACTAAATTCACGAGCGCTGCGAGTGTCGAGAATCGGAAACGGAACTCGAAACCTAAAATGGGTTCATGTCTTGTAGACTGGCGAGACCGAGTGGAGTCTCCTTATATCTTCCTTCATGGCCATCCCCTTGCACCCCCCCATGTGTGTGTGTGTGTGGCTGTGACGGATTTTCTAACTTGAATAGTCGTTAATTTTAACGCTTAATAGTTTTCATTTACACACAAGTGAAACTGAGTCTGAAGTGAGCTGAGTATAAAATACTCAGATTAATGACGTCACTACTTGCTTACTTTGGTAAAATTAACAAATAACAACACAGGTTTATAACCTCACTTTTAAAGTGAGTCTACGAGACTCAATAAAGCACATGGTCTTGATCTTGTGCAGTTTGTAGGTAAAAACTCAGTTGAATCTCACTTCTCAGAATGCAAAAGGAACGCCCATTCAACTGAATATGACGTCACAAGTGAGAATTATCTGAGAATCGGAGTAAATGGAAAGCAACTAATATCTCGGTTCGCGAGACAGAGCGACACTTTTTTTGCCAGATTCTTTCGTTTGGTGCAAAAACGCATCGATTGAGTATATTTTTATCAAAATTTGAGATGGACGGGGTCTTCTTAACATTTACCATTTTTTGAAATATAATATGTGATCGTGGCAAATGACGATATTTAAAACAAGCAGGGTGTTTTCCAACAACGTACACAGATGACACAGTGTAACACTGTGTCTTACACAAAGTGTTCCAACTGTAACACAGTGTTACACTGCTCGACACTGTAAAAAGCTAAGTACGAACGTGTAGAGTATGCCAATGTTACCAATTAGAGCTCTATCGTTCCAACAAGTCTTTACACAGTGGAGCACAGTGTAACGTTTCTGTGTCCTAGCTGGAAAACAGCCAAATATAAGTGCTTGAATTATTTCTGTCTGTTGAGCGGGAGAGATCAGTATTTGTGCTGTTTTAAAATGGCCAATAAATACGTATTTGTAGTTTAAGTTGTCTTCAAAAATTATTATTAAATTTTTATCTTACATACCAGTTAATCTCCACGTTGAACTCTTCGCACATGTTTAGAACAAAGAATAGGGAGAAGAAGAATGGAAGGCTCCATATACAACCTATGTCACAGTATAAAGGTAAGAACTCATGGGCGCGTCATTTGACGTAGAGATCCTATACCAGAGTCTGGACACGTGAGAGACAATTTCTGATTGGTCCGTCGTTTGTTGCAACTCCCGCTCTAATTCAAACGTCGATAACCTTATAAATTCATATAGGATAGAAATGTATACATAAACTTTTAGAACATTTTAATTTTTTTAACGAATATTAACTAACTTCACAAAAAAGTGAATTGTTTGTCGGTACCCGCAATCTTCTCGGTTAACATTTTTTACCCATATAACTCATCGTTCAGGATTTTTAGGAAATCTTTTCATTGCATATCCTTTGACAGCTGAATTATTACAATACGGAGCAGCACAGCCACCTATTTTTACTATAAATATTTATTTAATGTTATTATTTTTAATATTTATTACATCGACATTGATGATTTAATATTTTTCACGCTGTTAACTTAAATGAAAGAGAATATACAAATATATACATTACATTAAGGTTAGAATTAATAGACGAAGATAGTGTATATATATATATCTTTCTCTCTCGTAGCATTTTGCCACAATCGCTCTCGTGTCCAGACTCTGGTATAGGGTCTCTAATTTGCATATATGTAATACTATTATATGGCTAGATGAGAGAGAAGTCCATGTCCCAGAACCACGGTGCGGGAATATACTTCTCTCTCTTTCTCAGTGTACTTTGAACGTTGTGCGCATGCGTCGGATTCATCCCCTCCATCAATAGGTGCATCCAGAAGCACGACCGCTCACTAAGCGCTTAATGAGCTTTTTTATCTGATTGGTATATTCTATTAGATCTAAATATATAAACCAAACAGGTACAAGAGCTCACTGAGCGCTCAATGAGCGGTCGTGCTTCTGGATGCACCCAATGATAAATAGAAGGATAAATATACATATATGTGTAAGGAAGAAGGAAAAAGTGATTGATTCCGCTTCAGGATATAATCTTAGGTCTGTTTTCTGTGGCTGAACTAGTGTACACTTTTAGAACTTAAAGTGAGATAGGTATATGTTTGATATTTGTAGAAAGTGAGAAAGAGAGTTCTAGTTCAGTCTAGTGCAGGAACAGAAAACAAACCACTTGTTACAGTTAAAAGAGTCAGTTTTGTCGGAATAAATAAATTAATCCTTATTTTATGAAATAAACTTTTTCAAAATTGCCGTTTTGTATATAAGAATACAGTGTAATCCCTTACAGAAATTTCATGATAATCAGTGCAAACTAATACCTATTTCATACCTGTGCAAACTAATGTTTTCAGTCGCATTAGGCACATTAGGCTTTTTGCCACATAAATAACATATCTTGACCATTTTGCCTGTGTACAGCACACATCTAATAAGCATAACGAGCATAACCTGTTCGCGTCATCTCACTGATCGCACTCTATTTTCCTATTGGCGGATGCGATCAATCCAACGCATGCGCACAACACTCAAAGTAATCTTAGAAAGAGAGGGAAATATATATTCCCGCACCGTGGTTCTGGGACCGCTTCCTCTCACTCCCTCTTATAGGCACTAGCCATATAGTAGTATTACATATATGCTAATTTGACGCGTGCGTCACGCGTCATTGGGGAAATAACTAGATTATAGTGACTTCTAGCACTGTCGCGTTTGACGCGTTTACAGTTGAATTTATCCAACTTTAAATGGTGTCATCGCTTTTGGCAACGTTTTTTAGTAGTACCAAGGCCTGTAGGCTCGCGCACAACATACTGTCGCTGTGAATGCGGCCCTACAATTTCTAATAAAGCCTCGAGCTGGAGATCGATTCTGTATCTTGAAACAAGGTGAAAATTGCAAAAGCAATTTGAGCGAATTTACTAGAACATTTATAACTTCTTGGTCAATACCTAGTAAATTTGCTCACTTTTGTAATTTTCACTTCGTTTCGAGATACAGAATCGACCCCCTGCACAGCTAACATGCAAAAATAATTTTGGAATCGTAAATCTTCCAGTCTCAAAGTTGGGAACAACGCATGATAAAATCCATATTCACTTCGTTTTTTTAGGTTCAATATTTCTTGACGCTATAAAAGGAGCGTTTCAGCGTCGCATGAAAAGGCACCTTAAGATAGACGGAGCGTTCATACGAGAGAAGCTGAAGACTTGATAGAAAGAGAGACAAAATAGTCGCGGAGTAGTTCTCTTCTTTTCTAGTAGTGAATTGATTGGTCGTCGCGGCAGGTCGGAGAGTAGCCAAGAGCAACGAAGATAGATATCCGAGAGTATTAAGTTGACTGAGAATGATAACGAGAGCTTCGACGGATTGCAGCGGATTATTGTACATACATTAATTTACAAATTAAAAGTTGCAATTTTATAATGGTTTTGTTGCATTTGCAAGTCAGAACATGGTATTCGATGAGATGTTTCTTTCCAACTCCTGCTCTTAAAAAGAAACATACACGAAAAACTGATTACTTAGCTTTTTACAGTGTC